TTCCAAAAATCATTGCCATAGAAAAATAATGGATACCTAAAAAACAAACTCCTATGCTATACAGGAAAATTTCTCGACTATTTCATTTATACAGAAATTAAGAGGAATGTGACTCCAAGAACGTTTTGAGTATAACTGCTTAAACAATAGATGTTCCTCATCATTTAAATGAGAATACCTGACACTAGTTGTTGTTCTGAGCTATTTAACTGTGTTGGTTCCCACAGGGTAAAATTTTCTTTGACACAGTAACGATTCGAATTTTATGCGTGCGACACATTAAAAAGTTTGCCGAAACAATAAGATCAGTTATAATCAGAAAATCAAAACATATAAATTCTCTATAACTCAAACATATGTAATCAAACATAATCATACATTATTTATCAAACAATTAATTCTACCGTCTTTCAATTTTATAAAGTATTTGGAAAACCTGATTAGGATTTCACCTTGCGTAATCAATTAACTTCTACATTTTCGTCGGACTTTATGCATGAAGGAACAGACACAAATAATTCATATTCGCATTTCCTTGTAACGGTAATTGGTAGTTGCAAATTAAAATTAGAAATACCCTAAAATCTTGAAAATAAGACGGATTTCATAAAAAGCCGGTTTTGAAAATAACCTACCTATTTCTTGCACTGAAAATTACTCGAAAATAATCCTATTTTGAAAATAAGCTGGTCATGACAATGCCTAAATTGAACACAGTATCAGTTTAATTATTTTATTATAAATATTCCATGACATGACATTAAAGTATGATTTGATTCAAAATTCAAATTAAATTGTTGCAACTATTATAAAAGCATACAAATTCAATCAAAGTGCAATATTTTGATTAAAAATTATTGTTTTAGCTAGAATACCATGCGAAGCACTTATACCATAAAAATTCAAAGTCCAATATTTTGATTAAAAATTATTGTTTTAGTTAGAATACTATGCGTAGCACTAAAACCATAAAAATTCGAAGTCAAATATCTTGATGATAGCTAGATTATTATGTGTAGAATTAAAATACAGACTGTAGTAGAGCTGTCATAGTCACACTCTTAATTTGGGCTCAGCCAGTGGAATATCCTCATCTGAATCATAGTCACTGTCATTGTCATTGTCCAAAATAAAACAGACAACTTTATTGTCTTCAGTCCCCTCTTTCCCTGTCTCAAACGTATAATTCTCTATGCCCTGGAAGTGAATGAGATGATCCTCAATGTCATCCGTTTTTTTTTTTTTTTGAAATACCACAGTTTTTAAAGCACTTTACCACCGCGTCAGTTTGCTCCTCGCAGGTGTCTGACCAGGCTTCCCCTACCCATTTAGTCACACGGAATCGCCTGCAATTTAAATAAATTATATTAAAATTATAAACTAAATGTGTTTTTGAATTGTTACGATACCAGTATCTATATACTTAAGGTAAAAAGGAAAGCCTTAAAACAGGTGTTACAAACTATTCGATGTAAAAACAACACAGAGCTAACGTTTTATTAATTACCTTTCTGAAGCTGTGAAAGCGCCCTCAAGCTATTGTTTTCTGTTTGCATGCACATGCTTGTCCGTTTTTTCTTCAATGGAGCGTGGAAGGAATATTCTATCAAGGTGTTGAAGTTCGCTTGTACATTCGCTTGGAATTAGCGCCAACATTGTGCCGATCTCTCGGAACTTTGATTTTACTGTTTCAGTATTTTGCGCTCTGTGAACATCGGCGACTAACATTGTTGGTTTGCACTGGTTTGCTAGAGGTTTGCACATATTGTTAATCCAAAGCAATATAACTTGCTCGTCACTCCATGCATTTTGTATAAAATTGAACCACAACGCGACTATCGTACTTCACTTTTTCACTGAACGGAGTTCGCTGGCCTGTTCCCCGGAATACAACAAGCGGCTTTATGCGTTTAACGCCGTCCGAGAAAATACAACACTATAATGTAGCCTGTCTTTAATCAAGTCCGGATTTTTTTGTTCTGCACCATACTTTAGTAGCACAAGTTGTTTCATACGTTTCCCCTGATTTAGATCAAACAGGATTGGAGACTGATCCATGTTGGCAACAAAATTAAAGCGGCCATTAGGTTCCGTCCAGTCTCTGCTTGCATTTTTTCGGATAAATTTTGGAAACTGTTGAAGGCTTCAATTTTAGCGTTTGGTGGATTTTGAGCTCCACTGGTTGGTGCTCGATACGATATATTGTGCAGTTTTTTAAAATTATTAATCCAGCCGCTACTGCATTTGAAGTCAGAATCTGCAAGTTCAGCTGCACGCGATTTGAACCACCATGATTTTGCCTTTAGTCCGTCCTTCCGAATTTCTATAAATTCACGATGTAGTTATCTTTCCATTTCAGGATAAAGCGATTTCCGTCCCGAACCTTGCAATCTCGAACCTTTTGGAGTTTCTTATAGTTTTATGTTTGACTTAATCCATCGCCGCACATCAGAATATCTTGAATAGTGATTCAGTTGAATTGCTTACATCAGCATATTTCAGCATACGAAGTTTGACAGTAATATAATTTCTTTAAAGTGAGGTCAAGGTCAAAGGAAATGCCAATCTAACAAAATTTTGATCCGGATGTAAAGCTTTCATCAGTATGTATCAGCATATAAAGTTTAACACTAATTTAGGAAAAGTGAGGTCAAGGTCAAAGGAAAGGTTAATGTCAAAATGTTTCTGCAGTTGAATTGCAATTATCAGTATGTATCAACAAATGAAGTTTGATAAAGATATCTGATATTGTTTTTTTAAAAACTAAGCTAAACACTAGTTTAAAAAAATGTGGTCAAGGTCAAAGGAAAAATTGAGATAAAAGATGTTAGTCAGCTGAATAGCTCTCTTCAATATTTATCACCATATGAAGTTTGATAACTCTATCTTAAATGGTATCTTTAAAACTGAGCAAAGCACTTATTCAAGAAAAGTGCGGTCAAGGTCAAAAGAAAGGCTCAGGGTCGAAAATGGTGATGTACTTGAGTAGGTTTCATCTGTATGTATCAACATTTGAAGTTTGATAACACTATCTTGAACGGTATGTTTAAAACTGAGCTGAACATTAACTTAAGAAAAGTGAGGTCATAGTCAAAGGAAAGGTCAACGTAAAAAAAAAAATATTGAAGCAGTTGCCTAGCTTTCCTCTAGAATTATGTATGCACTGTAAATCAAACATAACATACCGAAGTCATTTGATTGATGTAAATAAATTGTTTCAATTTTTCAATGAAATCTTATTAGTATTTAATCTTACTATTTTGAAGTTTCTTTCAAATTTTTGTTATTATGTAATTCGATCAAGCAAACTGACAAAAATCACTGCAAATTCACTTTCAGAAATGGTAAGTAGTTCGTGTGTGTCGACCATAATTTCCTCTGCTTTTCAGAACACGTGTCTTTACTTTTATCAATATGAACGACCATACCAAATTTATGGATTGTGTACTGCAAACTCACACATTTTCGTAAGGTCAAATGTTCGTGGTTTAAGTAAAAACTTTTAATTTGTGGGGATATGAATTCGTGGATGAAGAATTGTTTTGTAATTATGTATCTAATATTTTACATTCCGTATGTGCCATGAATTATTGATTTAAAAAAAATATGTGCATATACACTTTTGGTAAATATAATGAATAGTTGTTCATTTGCGAATTTGATTGCACAAATTCCTCTAAAAATGTAGCGTTTTGCGGAAACTCTGTTACACAGTAAAATTCCAAACGATGTTAGTTGTTTCGAGGTATGTAGAGATCCATATATTGATGGTCCACCACGAATTGATTGATTGATTGTTTTTTGTTAAACGTCCCGCTCGAGAATTTTTCACTCATATGGAGACGTCACCGTATGCCGGTGAAGGGCTTCAAATTTTTACCTTTACTCGGCACTTATGGCCAATGAGCTGTGAGGGATCTTTATCCTGCCAACCCCTGCCGCTGACACGGTCAGTTGCTGTCGAGATACTAACTTACGTCCTCCCGATCATGGAGCAAGCGCTGTACCGACTCTACCGACTGCGCTAAACTGAACGGTAGGTCCACCACGGAATGTCAAATGTAGATACATAACTACAAATTCAAATCCCCACGAACCAATAGCTTTAACTCAAACCACAAGAAAATATAAGAGTTTGCAGTACACAACCCATAGATTTGGCGAACTTTACAAATAAGTTCACAAAAATATATCATTCAGATTCTAACAAAACTGAGAATAAATCAGCCATGCAGTTTGATAACAAAAATCAAATCATGTACAGTTGTATTTAATTCAATTTTTTACTTGTAGGCAAAGTTTGCGAAGCACGACAGTTTGTCTTTTCAAGATGGCGAGGAAAACCCATATGTTAATTTTATGGTATTTACATATTTTTGCAACATTTGTGTATTCATTGAAAAAAAAATATAAAGTCCTGAATGATGCTAAAAACAAAAGTCTTCACAGACCAAAAGTTTTTTTCCTGTTTGAATTTAACAAGAATTCAGTAATTTTCAGTTTTATAGATTTCAATAAATTAAAAAAAAAAAACGTTAAAGATTTTTTGTTTTATAAAGGAATCTAAATTCTGCATTTGTTAATATATATTTTTTGCATTCAATTTTATGTACTTCGAGGTGGAGTATATTGTAATGACAAGTGTTTAAGAATAATAAAATAGACAGCATCGAGAATATTTATTACATAAGTACTTACCCAAAATATTTACCGGGATTCTTTTTCAAATAATGATTTGCCATGAAATCGCAAAATGTGGAAGAAAATATAGGTTATTTTTATTAATAATCTAAAAGAAATGCGTTTGTCTGTAAATCTTCTGGAACCTCCCACCAAACCGTCATCCTCTTTCCAGCGTTAAAGATTGGGAATTCAATTTATTTCTTTATTATTTAATGCCTTTGTCTATTTGACGTCTAAAATTCCAGTTTTTTCCTCTTAATTAAAATAAAAGGAAGATTTAAATTTTCATCTTTAAATATTGAATTATCTTGAAGAATATGGGAGAAGAAACAGCGAGACACGATTATCGAGAGGAGGAGAAACAACCGAGAGATTTAGCTCGCTCTGTAACCTTGTGCATATTTCTCAAAAAGATTTCATACACACTCCTTGTCATTGCTCTTATCTTGGGATTGGTCGCTTTGACAACGTTGTTTATACTTGAGAAGAACAAAGTCGAAGGTAAGCTACTGATGATTATAGATATGTTTTTTCCTTGTAACCTTTTGATTACTTTCGTAAAATTAGTGTACTGAAACTAGGTCAAAAAATTCAATTTCCAGTTATTTAAGGGATGTTTTTAAGTTTAGTGTGAGTGAGTGATGTATGAATCACTCTGACTTGTCACGTAGGCATATATTATGAAGAGCGCAAGCGCTTCATGAAAAATATGCTTATCTGCAAGTCTGCATAATTTACAATAAACTTAAAAACATTTCTTATATTTACAATTTATATGTTTAGAAGCAACAGAAATAATTTTTAAAGAGTTTTTTACACAAGCGTATTCACTATAATGCATGAAAACGTTGTGTTTTAATTTTACTCAAAATAGATTTTCATTACCTTAAAGTTAATTTTCCAAAGGTGCAAAGGTTGTTAAACATCAGCATTTAATCAAAACTATCGCCATTAAAATATCATTTTTTTCCAAACTTTCTTTTAACTTATTTTGCCTTTTGCTTGCATAAGTCTGAAATATTAAGGCTAGTCCTTGCACCTCAATCGACTTAAGAGTATTAGTTCTTACACACTATTGGCATGATTATGGGGTAGCTTTTCATAATCCCGAGAGATACAAGGGTTTAGACCTCGCACACTACTCGACGGATTAAAAATGCAAAAAGCTATGTTATAGTTGTTACTTATTTTCCCATTGATAAGGGTTAATAGAGAGATTTTGGTAAGCATTTGAATAGTTTCTTAAAGTTATATATGTAGTTAAATATGTAGTGAAAATATAACCTAGTAATTATGACGTCGTTATTGTGAGGTCACACAGTATTATGCATTGGCGCAGGTAAATGTCAATTTGGCACCGAAAGAAAAGAATTCAGCATATCTACATTGGAATGAAATAGACTGCTATTTCAAGTTGAAAAGTCGAACTGGCATTAAGTATTAGTTAACATAATTTTACAAAATACAAACACAGACTCTTCTGTCAGGAATACACCTTGAAGAGAACATCATAATTCATGTACAAATGGAAACTTTTCAATATTTCAATTTTAATAACGTTAATACATTAATTTCACTTGTATCAAGCAATTTCATTGGCTGAATCATTCAGAGGAACAAATGGTATTTTGTATAACATAACTTGCCGACGTCAAAATGAGTTACATCAAAAAGGTATCATACCGCTTGAAGTTACTTTTAAAATAATTGTCTCATTGTCAACACTGAAGTTAAATTATAAGGAATGAAGTTAATTTAAATTTATGTCATACAATATAACATAACGGGACAGTTTACGCTTTCCGCTTCGCGGTTCATAAAGCATAAACTGCCCCAAGTTATGTTATATCGTATAACAAAAGTTGAAATAAGCTTCATTCCTTAAAGAAAATAGTGAACAATGTTGAATTGGGTAGATTTATTGTGACATACTTAGAATAATATGTTTATAATTATTACAAAGACAGGGTTTTATCCTTAGAAAATACCTGAAATTCATATAGTTTTCTTGCCGCAAGTAAAAATTCTTTTGAGTTTTTTTAATTGAAGTTACAATGACGTAACATCAGGAATTGCTTCTAATAGAAAATAATACACTTAATCCGTTTACAGCTTACATTACAGCACATTCTTGATAATAAACATGTTATGGTTGGTATGAAAATAAATGATTTTTTCTAACCAGTAATGTTGTAACAAAAAGAAGTATTATTACTAGGTAAATACACATTGACAGAATACTATATTCCGGAATAACTTCAATTTTCCTCTCGTTCCCTTGTAACAGAAAAAAATAACTTCAACAGAGTTTATTCTAGAAAAAAATGCAAAATATTATCGAATCTCTTTGATATTTTACAGGATCGTTCTATTACATCATATTTATACATAATATGTTTGTTGACAGCTCCTGTTAAGACAAGAGATACCCACATCTCTTGAAAAAAAAGTCCTTTAAGATGTCCCATTCAATGAAAATTAAGTGTAACGCGTTTTCCATGGTAAAGAAAAGAAAATCTTATCGGTAAAATTTACAAATTTGAATTGACATACAATGAGTACTTTTAAATAAAAACTTGTTCCAAAAAGATCATAAAAATTGTCCAGGCGCTAAAGGCCCTTTCACAATTGGCCCACGAGCACTTTACAACACTTTGCGATCGGAAAATTTTAGCTTCGCACGAGCTCTCGCATACGTTGCACGATGTCTCGCATTCATTGCATGTGTTTAAGTGGTCGCATCAAGTCTCTTCAAAATAGTCAACATGCACACTATTCAGACGCAACCAAATGCTATCCAAATTATCGCAATTCAACGCACGAAAGTTAGTGCGAACGTCTTACAACGTTTTATATACTCGTAAGAGTTATGTACGATTTTTAAAGATCGTAAGATGAATAGCAACTGTCTTTGCGTGTGTTTTGCGACCGTGAGACTGTTGCACAACAAGTCTCATGTAATCTTGCAACGTTTTATTATCATTGCTAGATTTATCACCTTCAATTGCCATTCTTTGTAACAGGTACAGTTATATACCATGTATAATTATAAGCATCTTAACTGTGTCAACTGAAGAGCTTCGGAAACGGGTGGTATATATACCCGGCCCTCTGACTCGCACGAACATTCGTACTATGGAATGCATAAGTGCACGAGCACCGCACGTCCAATCATATTGTCGCACGTTCAATCTTCCGATTACCTGATCAGTCGTGCAATCCTATCGCATTATCTTACAACACTTGCTTTCATTCTATAACAGTCGCATGTAGACGCAAGATGTATCGCAAGATTTTATGCACACAGTCGCTTTAAATCGTGCGCATTTCGTACGAACACTTTTTACATATGCGATTATTTTGGCAACACTTTACGATTCTAGACAAAATTATTCGGTTGCACGAATATTTTGTCGCTTCTGCTCGTGCGCCAATTGTGAAAGGGTCTTAAGGTATAAATCAAACATAATCCGTGTCTTGCAAATATGTCCCGATGCGTATATGACGCCATGTCAAATATATTTTAGTTAATAGCTTATTTATTCATTCCGAATTAAAGAAGCAATATTTATTAAAATTTATCTCAGTGGAAATTACTGAGAAATTACTTTTGATACATATAGGTTTCATCAGATCTTACCGGTTAAAAAGAAAATTACTAAAGAATCGAAATGTGTTGCGGAAATGTCCCCAGCTACTTAAATGACGGCTAACGTTATAAGAATGCACGATTTGGGACATACGTCAATGTGCATTTCTTATTAATTTATTTACGTTTGTTGTACCCTTCAATGTTAATCTTTAGTAATCACCTCTACTTAGATTGCTTTTTCTTTGGATTTTTTTTTAAATATCACCTATCATCGCAATAAAACGATTACACTGTACCGCATGAAATATAGCTATAATTTTAAATCCATGCAAATGCAGAATTTTCTTTCATATGCAAGAGAAAACAATGATACAAAGATACAACATAATTTGTTTTGATGATCTGCTTTATCGAATTAGTATATTTACCCAAGGTTCTGTCAATAAATTACTTTTATATGAATATTGCATGTATTTGAGTGTTACATTGAAAATTTTCACCCCAAGAAAACCATTGTCAACCGAGGCGCAGCGGAGGTTGACAATGGTTTTCGATTTGAAACATTCTTATGGTCACTTCTGAGTCCACACCTGTTTAAGAAATTAAAAAAATATATTGAGTCTCTGTCAGTGGGCCAGGGGCGCCATATGTATTACACCTTTCAAATTCTTTAGCTCTGACCACAGCAAGTGTATAGCATTAACACACTCAAGTGATACATGTATCATGCGAAATTCATCTTAACAATGATTATAAACTTACATGTACTTTGTTAATTAGTTTATCCCTATTCAGACAAAAATAAACATGAATCCCGTAAATTAAGATTTTTTAACACATAACATAAATTTGAAGACGTCTGATAATGTTTTAACCAGCCTTATAGAAGGGGGGAGGGCAAACTATTTCTTAAATCGCAAAATATCTATATGTTTTTGCAAACTGTTTTTTTTTTCTTTTCATTTTTCATACGATGTATCTCAGAAAGTAAGAAATAATTGTACTGAAGTTAATACATTTCATTTGCTAAAAATTCGGCTGGTGGTTTTGTATCCAGCTTGTAAGCTGATCACTATTTATAAAATTTATCGGATTATCATCTTTACGTGTTCAGTAGATTTTACGATTTTAATATTTATCTCCATATTTTACATAATACAGATTTCCAGTGTTAGTCTAAGTGCATAATCCTTATCTGAACCAATGATTCGCCTAGTAATTCCCGGTATCAGAGAGCAGAATTAATTTGCCAGTCCGATACGGAAAATATATGTTTCATCAGAACTGTGACACACCGTGTTACACGGTGCACAGAAACGCTGACTTCAAGGAGGCAGACATGGTTCGAGGTCAACGCTAAAGGGTTACTTTCGGTCCACGGGGCCCCGTGTTTTGTAAGGAAAACTCGTGGCCTGTACTGTAATAATGAAATGAACACTTGCAGATAAGAGCAACCTAACAACTAGATTAGATACCCCATTTCAAATAATATGCTTTACTTTCAAGTACCTAGCACTGAAATTAATACTACATGAATATCATAAACGATATTTGCTTAATAAATACATTATATTATAAACGATATTGGCTAAATAAATACATTAAGAATTAAACGCATCAATAGTCAAACAAGATATTTAAACAGAAATACTTCTTCTATAGTCCTTGTAAAGTAGCTTTAAAAATTAGTTTCGAAACATTTGAACAGAGATACTATCTGAGACATTTTTTATCCGTTAAATGCACCTCTTTGAATTTCTACTTTGAAATGTTCGTTTTCATTTATATTTTTTTAACACAATCTTTTCTTCAAAATTAGATCAACAGCATTCCTTACAACATCAACTAAATTTCCAAGAAAAGGAGAAAAAATGGACTGGTATGTACTTTAAAAAAAGAATAGTCGAGTAAATATACACAAATAAAGTCATGAAAAGTGAGAAGATGATTACAATTACATAAAACACGCCTTTGCATTGCACATTTACGGCAAAATGATTAAAAAATCTTAGAAAATTAATTTCCGATGAAAACCCCCTCACTGCTCAATGGCCCTAAGTTTTCTAGTAAATGTTTAAAATTTAAAGCCCATCGTCTCTATATGGTGACCTTTCTAGAATATCCACGGAGTTTGCCGAATTTCACACATAATCAATCCTTGACAATTTAGAATAGGAGAACCCATACGAACGTCAATAAAATTTTAAACATTTTTTTTTAACTCAAACCACTTCCTCTGACAAAATTCTGAAAAAATTAAGCGTAAAAAAATCATCTACTTCATATAAAGGTATCAAAACAATGCAGATAATAATGAGAATACATTCGCATCTTTCCTCGTACGATCTCATCGAATGATTTTTTTAAAAATTTTCTTTGAGGTTATGTACTTTCCTATACTGTCTATAAAACTTTTGATGATTTTGAGAAAATGGAAGCTGTAGCTGATTAATAATAGAAAATTGAAAATATGTCGAAAGTTATAAATAAATCTTATAAAAACAATGGGTTTATTAACGCCTTTGTGTGCAGCAGAACCCTCAAGTTACAAAGGGAAGTCAAGTGTTGTTTCCTGTGTATCTTCTGTGACAAGAAAATATCAATGAGTAAAAAAAATGCATCAACATGTCATTAAAATACAAGCATGAAAAATTGGCATAAATATGACTTATGTTAGTCATTTAAGATAGAGACCTATAGCAATCAGGTGATTGATAGAATTCGCTTTTCAGCATGTGCTGCTTTTTTTTCCCGGATTCCGCAACGCCGCCAAAGAAGGATGTGGAGTTAACGAACAGTATTTCAGGGGGGACCTATGTCGTTCTACGTCAAAGCAGCGTTATGTGACGTCACAATAGCGACGTTTGTTTTTACCTGTTGAATTTTGCAACTGTGATATAGGCATAACATTGTAAATAACGTACACAATTTACAAAAAGAAAATTTATTTATCAGAAATAACAGTTTTACTTGATTGATAAAGTTTGTTAATATTAGAATTCTCTTCTTTTGGTTGATAATTCATAGCAATTTCTGTTGTGAAGAAATACCTCGATGAATATAATATGAAATTCTGATATATGTGCAAAAAGATAAGATATAATTCAGCAAAGAAAGCGGCTTAAATAAGGATAATATGTTTAACTTTATGTTTACCATTAAATGTATTTTCTGTATAAAACTAAATAAAATTAAGAAATGTACTTGTACCTATATTTGCTTATTGATTTATAGTACATGTAGATTTTATTGTATAAAGTCATTCCTAGGTTCTGATGGGTGTTAGTTGTTGACGGGGAAATGGGGGGAGGGGGGGGCAGAATGATTGAAGAAAAGAAATAATCTGTCTAAATTATTTCTAATCAAAACAAAATACTCTGTTTTGGCAAAATAGTTTTATATTCAGATGTTTGTCAGTGCTTATACTTACTTTGTCTTGGTGCAGAAAGGTCAATATATAGGACACAAGAGTACGAAAATTAAAGAAAACTTCATATTACTCGTTTATTTTATCACGAGGGTATACTTTTTTCTTTGTTGAAATAAAGAGACGAATCATTTCTTTAAAAAATATGAATTACAACATTTTCACACAAAGACTTTTTAAGATATTACCTGTTATGCATGTCAGAATTGTAAAAAATACGACAAGAAAAACGGGGTGATACCCACATTGTGCTCCATTATAATTTTTCATGCGAGATGAGTTACAATGAATTTGCCTTCATTTTAAAGATACAAGTCATATAAATTATATACCTGTTGATTTTGAATGTGATTTGACATTTTGGGTTCTTTTTAGCGCATATTTAGGGTAGAACAATAATGTCTGAAAATAATCTATTTTTAGCATTTCAATCTGTTTTTGCACGTGTTCCTGTGTAAAAATAAGCATATTAAGGTATTGTTTTTAATATCTAAAAATTAAGAGCAAGTGGTCAGGAAAGAAATGTAAAAGTTTTGAAAAATTCACACAAAGACTTTTCGGACATACGTCCCCCCTTAATACCGAAGTCCGTAAAACAAAACAAAATAGGAGCAAAGCAAACACGAACCTGCTAAACATCAGAGTTGGGATCAGGTGCCATGGAGGAGTGAGCATCCCGTGCTGACCAGTCACACAGAATTCTGTATAATTTTATCTATGTCTGACATAGATTGAAAGTAAACTATCTCCCCGAATACGAATTTGAACAACTATGCCACTAATATTTACGAAAATTGCATATAAATATATCTTTGTGCTCTTGTTTTTTTTGTTTTTTGTTTTCTCATGTCGGACCTTCGCATCAAGTACATCTTATGGTAAATATTGTTTTGATGGTTTTAAAATATAGATTCAACTTCCATTATCTGTTTGAATATCAAACAAACGTTGATAACAACAATTACTGATATTTTATGATAATAAGACATTCGTACACGCTGTCGTTTTCACTCATTTTTCAAAATAAAGCGTGACCTTTGAATACTAAGCTTTTCTACTGTCAAACTTTTTTTTAAAAACATTGTAAACTACTCCCGAAATGATGTGTATCAAATTTATTATGTTTTTTTTAAAATCAATCATACCTTATTAAATATTGTTTGTTGAAATTTGGCAAAAAGTACATTAATTGTTATAATTTTTTGTTGGCTAATACGGTACCCATTTTTGATGCCCATCAAATAATTTTTATCATTGAAATCCACCAGCGCATTTGTCTATAAAACAGACATTGGTTGCTGTAAATGTCACATCTTTCAGTGAATATTTCTTTGAAACTATTATCCAAGTTTTACAGCAGCTTTAACGAAGCTTTTATTTTCACTCTAGCTTTTATTTTCACTATATTTTATTTATTCTTAACCATTCATTTATAATACAGGGTTTTTCCAGCCTGTCACAATGAAACTATGTGAAGAAAAGTGGTCACATAAACTGTTATCAGGCATGATTTAAAAGAAAAGATATCTGATGTTTATAAACACATAAAAAAAAAAAGTTGTGTAATACAGCAAAACTCGTTTAGTACGAACACGGATATTACGAATTTACGAATATAGCGAAGTCAATTTTGATCCCCAAGTACATAAATTTGATTTATTTCTTATACAGTTATAAAAAATTACAGATATAGCGATTTAATTTTATAGGTCCCAGTGACTTTGTTAAAAACCAGTTTTGCTGTATAGTGATTTAAAGGAATTAATAACTATTTTTGAACAGTTGTTTAATAGTAAACATGTTATTATAGAAAAAAATCTTCAACGGCAATGAAAATTGTGCAACATTTAAATTTAAATTTATGAATAAAGTTTTCTCCACTTGTAATTGAACAAATGTGGTATCTTAAGAATTTATTTAATTCTTACATGGATAACTTATTTTAAATACCAGATTTATAATTATCAGCAATAAATCACAAAGAAAATTTGACACTTAATCTCGATGTGAATGCCCTTATTTTAGTACATACATGTATATATATTTCATCATATAAACATTTACATTTAGCTAGCTCCATTTCAAAACGTATAAAATCGTTGAGAATAAATTAGATATTTAATGAATTGAAAACAATTTATTTACTTTCTTTATTTTGCCAATTTTCAAAATTACAATTTCAAAGAGTAAAGAAATTTTTTTAAAATAATCTAGTTGAACAATAAAAGGACAGTACATGTTCCGTCATGTACTTAGTAATCGAAGATGGTTATATCTTGAAAACCATGGATTTTCAAGGGGGTTATATCCTCCCACATTTTTTTTGACAAAGTAAAGTCAATGAAAAGTAGGGCTTACCTTTTTTGTTGGATTGTGATTGGATTGTTTTCATCTTCTTTGTCAATCACTAAAAGACACCTTCCTTGAGTCCCCAAACCAGCTTTAGAGTTCTACATTATGTATACTGAATACTGCATTGAACATATATTTGACAGTGCTTCCCTTTTCTAAGTAAATTGTAGTCTATATATTTTTAAATCAAATTGTAAACCCCTTATTATTCTCTAATCAAGACCACACTCTCTTCTTGGTTAATTTTCTTTTTTCAGAACAACAATTATCTCTACGGTTGCAAGTGAGCAATTTACAAGAAAAATACGACAACATCTCAGGTATATATTATCTAAAGACATGAGAGAGGGGGAGAGTGAGAGATTTAAATTTTGTTCTTAAAATTTCAGCGTAGCAACTAATACATGATTAATGAAAAAAATCGTTTGAACAGACCATGAAATCACATCAGCTGAATTTGTTTTTTTCATAATAGAAGAAAATCAAGTCCTCAAAGAAGAATTATCTGGCTTACAAGAAAAACTTGGAAACTTAACTGGTAGGTTATTGTATTTAAATATATATTTTTTTATTTTATTTTCTTATAATGTCCAGGAACATTTCAAACATTAGCTATTAATATTTTCACATATGGAGAAACGCAGAACATTTCATTTAGGAGATGATTACGTAGTCGTTAATACATGCAACTAATAATCATAATTATTGTACTATTTTTAAAAAAAATCTTCATAACTTATTCAACAATGATCTTTCTTGAAATAAAGAAGAAAGGGTGAGTACACTTTTAAAGATATGATAGTTTGTTCCCAGTATTTTGCGCAAAAAAGGATTCGTTCTTCATTTACATCGTTTTATACTTATTAAACAATGCCTTCATAGCAGGCTTTGGTACAATGTACATGTATATAATATTACATGAAAGTACATGTATAAAATAATGCCAAGAGACACAAGCTTTTGAGACGAGACTAACAGTTTTGTCACAATTCTGTTGTTATTCATTTGTATAACCAGTTTTCAAAGACATTGTTTACATTTGGATGCAACTTGTCCATTGATCACATTTGCGCAGAATATGTATTTTGATTTAAACTTAAACATATACAGGGAAAATGTTGGAGAAATTACAGCTCATATCTATTTTTTTTTTTTAATAAAAAAGTCCCTTTGACAATATTACATGTAGACACACTTTGTCTTAACTTGAAGAAATATGCGTGATAAAGATATCAAGGATTAAATATTACAGACAGACGGACGTACAGACGGATTGACATACCGATTACTATATACCCCCCTCTCCCGCTTTTCAAGCGGGGGTATTATAAAATCCAAGGGAATGCTTTAACTGAAATGTAAGCTTTATTCTGATTCAAAATGTATATCTGAGCTAAGAACATTGTCCGTATTATGTACATGTAACATGAATAATCCGAAACAAGTACACAGTACTAAGGATGGAATGAAATCCATGTGAATAAATCCTGAGGAATGTATACAATTCAAATCTATCGCAGCTCATTGCAACCGAAAAAAAATTGTATTGAGTAACGCAGAGTAGGTTATTCTTGTCCCCAAAGAAAGTGTGCTACATGCCTACTGAGGTTTATGTCTGCTTGACTTGTGTTAACGTAAACTAGAATGTTAAGATTTGTTCTTTTCAGTCCATCTCTCATCAGAGGGCGTTTTTATGCTCCGCACTAAAACCTTTGTTATCGCCTAAATTACAAGAATCTTGTAAAACGAAAATATATTATAGGTTCTCAAGAACTTGTTAGTTTTCTAAAAAAATAAAATTAGAAATATTATTCTTTATTATATCTTCATCTGTACCGATTGCTTTTTTTAGTGTTTCTTATATATTTCCATTTCTAATTTTTTTTCTCTGAGATAACTGTTTGAAAGTTGGGGGAATTTATTTCTTGATAATTCTGCCGGAATGTAAATTAGGCAGGTCGATAGGTCAGCAGCCAAGGAGGCCTAATACGCATGCACATCTCGTGCGCATCTGTCTCTGTGTCTGACGCTAAGTAAGCCAAATACGCATGAAAATCTCGTGCGGCTGCCTTCGTGTTTGACGTCAGTGTTCGAGGACTATTGATTGGCATGGAAGTCCTCGTGTAATTTAAATCTATTAGTCTACATCTTTAATGTCTAAGTCTACAATTTTATTTCACAATGAAATGGAAATATAAGGAATCACTGTCTAGTTTTGAGAGTATGCCAGGGACATCAACAATAGTGGGAAACATGGGATAATTTTAGCATAACGGGCTTCGCCCCTTATGCAAATTATCCCATGTTTCCCACTATTGTTGATGCCCAGGCATACTCTCAAAACTAGACAGTGATTCCTTAAATATAAAAGGACATGCTAACTGGATTAATTATCGAAAGAATATACACAAACCTATCTGAAACAAAAAAGTAGTCTGTTAAGAGGCGAATTTCAAAACTATTTAAATCTGGCACCAGGTCGATTCAAATCCCAGGCAATAAAAAAAGTACCGACGGTGTGAACAGTCAGCACTTACATCAATTGAGCTAATCTGACTATAAGAATAAATGGTGTGAATGCGAACCATATTTTCAAAGTCAGGTTTCCTTTTTTAAAATTATCTTGGTGAATTTCGATCGTAGAGTAGGGATGCCCCTTAATATTTATATCTAAAACTTACATCCAACCAACCAAAATCTCATGATTTCATAAGGTCTTCAAAGCCAAAATTCATGATGAACTTAGCACATTAACGGACAAAATGCTGTTCGGCCAACGTTTAAGATGCAATGAAAAAACTTTACAAAACTTTACTTTAAGAAAACAATTAAAAAACTTTTAGTGTTAAATACCAATTGGAAAAATAGACATTTATACAGTAATATTTCCATTTCTAATTTTTTTTTCTCTGTGATAACTCTTTGAAAGTTGTTGGAGTTTATTTCTTGATAATTCTGCCGGAATCTAAATTAGGCAGGTCGATAGGTCAGGAGCTAAGGAGGCCTAATACGCATGCAAATTCCGTGCGCATCTGTCTCTGTGTCTGACGCTAAGGAGGCCAAATATGCATGTAAATCTCGTGCGGCTGCCTATGTGTTTGACGTCAATGGGCGAGGACTACTGCAATTGACTTGGAAGTCCTCGTGTAATTATAGTCTATGTCTACATTTTTAAAGTCTAATTCTACAATTTTATTTCACAATGAAATGGAAATATAAGGAATCACTGTCTAGTTTTGAGAGTATGCCAGGGACATCAACAATAGTGGGAAACATGGGATAATTTTAGCATAACGGGCTTCGCCCGTTATGCAAATTATCCCATGTTTCCCACTATTGTTGATGCCCTGGCATACTCTCAAAACTAGACAGTGATTCCTTAAGAAAACAAGTTATAAACATTGATTTCTAAATGTCACTTTTTCCGGAAATCATCTCTTATAGGTCGGTTCTTTTGAAATTTTGAATACATCCTTTATTTGAAATAAAAGCTATCCCAGTTCTTCAAGCACATTTTCTATATCGAATGAAGTTTCGCTTTAGATTTTCAAGCTCAAAAGGAAACATTATATTTTTCGTCATTTCGTAAACAAAGGAGTGCATTCCAATCAAGGACCCATTAAATGAGAGAACCTTATGAGAAAAAAATATTCTGAATTGATAATTTTTTTTGCCTATAGAGCAGCAACTATAGGTAACATTTTCCACTGTGTCTGTCTGTCTGTCTAGCTGTCTGACCGTCTGTTACGACCTACATCTCGTGAATTATTAACGTCGTGGATTTTATATTTTGATTGTGCATTGTTTGGCAACGTAGTTTTTGTAAATTACTTTCAAATTGATAACGTACCTCGAGGCTTTTGACCTTGACCTTTGATCTACTTTCAAAGATGACTGTAGTGCCGATATACATTTGATATTAAAAATGTGAATCTTTGCTATTTAATGGGTACATGGTTTATTATGAGACAATATCAAACATACAAGCCCTGCAATCTGTTTGAACTTGACCTCCGACCTACTTTGCAAAATTTTTGGTAAATTAGCATTTATATCTATTTATGAGCTCATGATACTCTATTTTGAGACCGAATGATATTCATTGATTACAAACATTTATTAAATACTATGGAAATACATTTGGATCGATATTCTGCAGTGGATCGTATAAACTGCAATATATGGAGACAAAAATCTCTTCTGTGGGATTGTTAGAAATATGTCTGAATAAAATGATCAACGTTATTTCTAATTTAAATACTCATTTGACGTTTAGGGTGTAACATTTTTTTCTCCAATTCTATAGCAGTATATACTTTTGTTGGATGATATTTTTTTCTATGCAGAAAATGCATGAACTATTATGCTAATAGTAAATTTAAAAAAAATGGCCACTGTAAGATTTATTTACATCTTTTATGACGTACAAAGCAGGTGAAACATTCCGATTTTCTAAAACATGCTTTCCTAAGAACATTCCGTTTTTTTAAACATACTTTTCAATGACAATTCCAGTTCTTAAATATCCGTGTTTTTTTTTCTTTATAAAATGCATTGAACAGAAATTTGCAATATTTGATATTCATGTAATATGGATCCTATAAAAATTAGCAAAAAATACACCATTTTACCATTTGTCACGAATTAAAATAATGTTGACTAATAAACTTCAATTGTAAGTTAGAACTATGGGTACTGTAAGCAATTAGCTTACAAAACGATTCCACCTATCCCAAATATATTTGGAATCGTAAAATACACCTTTTGCTTTGCAGTCCCCGAAAAGTGTCAAAGTAAAATAAGAGTTGTACAGTGAATCTACGTACACATAATGAAGAATCGGTGAAAGCATCAATCAATTAAATTCAGAGAAATAAAAAAAAGTCGCAGATAAGAGACAGATCCCCTCAATATTAATAAAAGAATTGCAGTCTCCATTTTTTTGCTAAGATGGTAAACTCAAAATATGTCTCCTGTTAAAATTTAAAAAAAGAAGTGCATAATGGCTTTATCTAGCAAAAATTTTATGAAATCATGTACTTATTAGATATCAAATTTAAGTGGAAAAATAATAAGAAAAAGCGAGTTAATGCACCAACCTTATATATTGGGGCAAATATATTAATTTAAGGTAGGACCAAATAGATGGGCAAATTTTTCCTCAAAATCAATTTTTCTGAAACTTTGATATTTTGTTCTTGGATACAAAATCTCTCTTTATATATAAAATGAAAGAAATTCAACCGCACATTTTTTGCCCACATAGTCTGAAATATGGCCTATTAGACCCCTGTAAGAAGACTGTGAAATCGGACATTCGATTTGAGAATGAGTCTTGTTTTCGAATTTTCTATTGATCTATTGCAAATTTGTGTTATACTTTTAATAATATCTTTTTTGTTACATTAAATTAGTGAGTCACATTTATACTGGAAAATTTGGATAAAATATTAAGTAAAATAAAACATACATTGTGTCAGAAACTGAAAATTCACATGTAAATATCCGACAGTTTAAGTTTTCTTAAGGTCAGACGAC